TAGTGAGCACCGGGGTTTCACTGGTGGCGTTGTAAAGCGCTTATCTCGGCCTTTGAGACCGGGAGGGAGTGGTCGCGTCCGTTGGTCTGATTCCACGCGCTGAATCGGCGGCATTGAGCTGCTCTAACTTATTGCCATATAAGGCAATAGTGAGGCTGCCTGGCCACTTCCTTTGTCTCAAATCTCTTGGTTTCAACCCTGCGCCTTTGCGCCGCCTACTGGCCAGACGTCACAAATCCATCAGTCATCACCGCCTATAAAAGACTCTACCCATTCATATTTTAACAGTTTCGCTTTTTTTTCCCTACAGCCATGGATGAGGAAATCGCTGCCCTGGTCGTTGACAACGGCTCCGGTATGTGCAAAGCCGGTTTTGCTGGAGATGATGCCCCTCGTGCTGTTTTCCCCTCCATTGTTGGACGACCCAGACATCAGGTACATTTAATAAACCATCCTAATAACATGTTAATCATATTGAACCACATTAAACTCTCATTTGTGCATTTTACATCTTTTAAAACCGATTTATATTCGTTTTTAGATAATGAAGTTTATTAAAGTGTTAATTCACAGCTTTATTGCTTGTTTTGAGAATCTGCTTGCATAAGTGATTTTTAAACTTGATCTGATTCTCGTTTGTTTCGAAGTTCTTCAGCTTTGAAAGTCAGATCTATTAAAAGCTAATTTAAGCGTTCATTACAATAAATTCAAGTGAATCTGTTATAAGCTAGCCTTCAACGTTTTTAAATTCCTTCAAACAAATTAGTTCCTCTTTGCAGTTCCTCATTTCTCGGTGAGCTGGTGCTTTAATCCCTTTACTTTTTCTTCCTCTAGGGAGTGATGGTTGGCATGGGACAGAAGGACTCCTATGTGGGAGATGAGGCCCAGAGCAAGAGAGGTATCCTGACCCTCAAATACCCCATTGAGCACGGTATTGTGACCAACTGGGATGACATGGAGAAGATCTGGCATCACACCTTCTACAATGAGCTCCGTGTTGCCCCTGAGGAGCACCCTGTGCTGCTCACTGAGGCTCCCCTGAATCCCAAAGCCAACAGAGAGAAGATGACACAGGTGTGTTCCTGTGATCAATTTGATTTTCATATTGCCTTATTTGGCTTTCTTCCCCTCTTTGTTCACTTCCTTTCTGTCCATTTCCTCTTAGGCTCTGTCACTTGCCATGATCTCTTGATAGGAGGTTCAAAAGGTTCATCCCTATTTCTTTCATTCCTTTTCCCCCTCTTGCATGGTTGCTTCTAACTTTAACTCTCCACAGTCTTGAGTGTTTTGGCATGGTGTGTTGGAGGCTTTCTTGCCCTGTTGTGCACCCATATTCATGCAGATTTGGGGCTCTGTGTTTTGAGTTTGGTTTTTAACCAATTATCTTCTACAGATCATGTTCGAGACCTTCAACACCCCTGCCATGTATGTGGCCATCCAGGCTGTGCTCTCTCTGTACGCTTCTGGTCGTACTACTGGTATTGTGATGGACTCTGGTGATGGTGTGACCCACACCGTGCCCATCTATGAGGGTTACGCTCTTCCCCATGCCATCCTACGTCTGGATCTGGCTGGTCGTGACCTGACAGACTACCTGATGAAGATCCTGACTGAGCGTGGCTACAGCTTCACCACCACAGCCGAAAGAGAAATTGTCCGTGACATCAAGGAGAAGCTGTGCTATGTGGCCCTGGACTTCGAGCAGGAGATGGGAACCGCTGCCTCTTCTTCCTCCCTGGAGAAGAGCTATGAGCTGCCTGACGGTCAGGTCATCACCATCGGCAATGAGCGTTTCCGTTGCCCCGAGGCTCTCTTCCAGCCTTCCTTCCTGGGTGAGTTCCTTGCCATGCATTTAAACTGATCTCCCTTTCAAAAGTCATCCTTCAACAGTGACTGACGTTTGCTTTTATTGGTGCAGGTATGGAATCTTGCGGAATCCACGAGACCACCTTCAACTCCATCATGAAGTGCGACGTGGACATCCGTAAGGACCTGTATGCCAACACAGTGCTGTCTGGAGGTACCACCATGTACCCTGGCATTGCTGACCGTATGCAGAAGGAAATCACCTCTCTTGCTCCTTCCACCATGAAGATCAAGGTGATGCACCTGCCCATTTTCACTTTCATAGCAGTTTGCTTGCAGTGATTTCAGATTAGCTAATGTCCCCTTTCTCTTGTAGATCATTGCTCCCCCTGAGCGCAAATACTCCGTCTGGATCGGTGGCTCCATCTTGGCCTCCCTGTCCACCTTCCAGCAGATGTGGATCAGCAAGCAGGAGTACGATGAGTCTGGCCCATCCATCGTCCACAGGAAGTGCTTCTAAACAGAACTGTTGCCACCTTAAAATGGCCATGCAATGAGATTCAAACGAACGACCAACCTAAACCTCTCGAACAAGATGACATCAGCATGGCTTCTGCTCTGTATGGCGCATTGACTCAGGATGCGGAAACTGGAAAGGGAGGTAGTTGTCTAACAGGGGGAGGAGCTTTCCCCGAGAGGACTTCAATGTACATTTCTTTTAGTCATTCCAGAAGCGTTTACCACTTTGCCCTCCTCACAATGGGCGTCCATGACCTTTTTGTTATAGTGTTTATGTAAATTATGTACTCGATACATTGTTTTTCTTTTTGTACTTCAGCCTTAAACTTGGCCCAGTTTGTTATTGTTGCAATGAGGGGAAAGCTTTACCTTTTAAAAAGTGAAGATCTTGCAGGACTTCCCTAGGGTATGTGAATAAGGGATGTCCCTTGAAAATGTAAGCCAGGGTGTCTCTGTACACTGACAAGTCAACCCAAATAAAACGTGCACATGTAAAACCACACAATGTCTACTGTCCTCAGTTGTCCAAACTCTTGTTTTAAAGTGACGCTGTGTCTGTAACTGTACTCCAGTCTTTTTCTTTGGATGCAAATTCACAGTGGCATCTTTAAATCCTGTCAGTATATCATGATTTTAAGTACAGGCCAGTGTTAAGTCACAGTGCCAAGTAGCATCTCTTCTAGATTATTACAGTTACCAATGCAAGAAGCTTCTAACTAAAATTTACATACTCGAGCAGCTTTACAGTACAAGTGTTTTGTATAGACTTGCTCAAAGGAGTTGCCAGTTTTAGGTTCATCAATTTGACTTGAGTTTAAGTGCAAAAGCAAATTTGAAGTTTGCTTTATCAAAGGTCCATTAAATGCACTTAAGTAGTCTGTTACTTTACAATAGCTACGAGCACTTTGAGTCAAGATAAGCAAAATGACTATGCATGGCTCCTGATCAATCAAATCAAAACACTGCAAGAAACCTTAAATACAAAGGATGTGCATGTATGTTGAGTTCTGTTTGTTATAAGCTGGATTTTGCACCCCAAAATCCATGCAGCTTTTATTTATGGAAGGCAAATGAGAACATCACCTCTGTCTGCTGTGAAGTCTTGCCATTTATATTTGCTCTAATGCAAATTGAACATGGAAGACATAAAATGAAAGTATTTGAGAAGAGAATTATTTGAGACCTTTTATCTGTACATGTTCTAATGAAGCTCAGTTTATTTGTTTTCCTTTCAACATCTTATTTTGCTTCATATTACTTTTATGTGCTGGACCAAACTATACTAATCAGAAGTAATAGATTGCAGTGGTCAGAAGTTATTACACAATCTAATGTTGGAAGCAAACTTCATAGATCCTTAATTATTAATAGTTGTTTACATTTTGATGTATTTGTTTCCTTAAACTGCGCCACTAAGAAAAAAAAAAAGGATTGCATTTCTTAATTCCTAATGTCACTAGTTAACACGGTGCTTTTTTTTTTTTTTCTAAAATATCAACCTCTACCAAATAGTTTATATGTTGGTTTATAGTAAAAGTACAGAAATTATTACATATGATAAATCTGAAAAATTGAAGTCTAAGACCAATTTATTTAAAAACAATCAAATAAAACCTTATTGAACACGAAATCTTTTTTTTTTAAGTACGCCATAAAATATTTCAGATTCTCATTTAACATTTTTTTTAAGCAAGTTAAGCTTTCAGTTTACTTTGGCATTGAAATATGTCTGAAAATGCACCCTTTAGTTGTCACATATTTGGTGGACAAAGATTAAGCTCAATATGCATTATCAATGTATTTTTTTTGTTCATTAACTCCAATTCTGTTTTTTTTTTTTTTTTTTACTTTTAACCTCCTTTTCTTTTGGATCAAATCTGACCGATTTACAACTTAAAACACTCTTAAATGTGTTTTCACATCGGAGTGCCTCATGATATCCTCCACACGATGCATTTGAACATTTAAGTGATAATCACCTCTATTATTGAGTCTTGTGTTTTAGTCAACGCTGTTACACCTGTGGTGAAGGTTGTTCCATGCCACTGTTGCCACTGACTTGTTTGGTTGGGACTTGTGGAGCTGTGCATCGATGGATTTGCTCTTCAGTGTTTGGACTTTCAGCAGTGAAATTTTACCACACTAAACTGAACTGACACGATTTCAATCTACTGGAACTTCTATTTTAAGCTGTTTGGCTCAAAATACATAGTAAAACTGCTATAGAAACATAAACATAAATTTTATTTACCTGTGCTGTTCCTGGTCAAAGGTGACCGCCATAGCAAATTAATGGGACTAAAATCATCCATTATGTCTAATTCTATAAAATCCTGCCAAACACTACATTGAGACCTTGTTTACAGCTAAAGAAGGTTAAATAAAAATAATGGTTTTGAAAAATGTTTTCTGTGCTAGTTTAAGAGACCGGTCAGTTTTGTCCAGGAACAGTAAAGTAAGGGGCGGGAGGTGAACACGACAGGAAAGTTAATTATACCATATTCTATGTATACATGACTTACTGTCAAATGTAAAATAGAATAAGACAAGTAGTAGCCGAATAATATAAGAGTATATTTTTGAAGTTTTAAAGCCAGACCACACCCGGGGACATTTTTACAAGTTGCACACAGGAAATAAGCACGCCTCCCAAAGCGTCCCGGTGGTGCTACACTATATACTGAACATACATCATTGATATACACATATTACCGCTATGCGTGTGCCAGATTTTACAGTATCAACAACTGTTATACGTTTATTGAGATGGCAAGAATTAGTTTTTCTATATTACTGAAGTACACATCCCAACACCTTTCCCAAAAGCGCCATGAATAATCAAATCGAAACGGTAAGTTACAGAAAAGCTGGCCATGCTAGTTAGCTTCTTCATTTGGTTGTCTGCAAATATTATTCGGGTAACAAAATGTTCTGAAATCATCACGATATGTTTGGATTTTTGACATTCGGTCAGGTTTTATAAGGTATTTATAAACAGATCAGTAATATATTTTAACTCCGTATCAAAATTCACCATATTAAACATGTCAAAATGCTATACATTACTGAATTTTTGGTTACTGTAATAGAGTTATAGTTAAATTCTCTCAATTTCAACATGCGTTTATATTCTAAAATATGCTGTAACTGTTGTTCAAAAACCTTTCTGTCATGTTTGACATTTGTTTTGACAAAGTTATATTGTAAAATCCACCTCAGATATTTCAGTATTGAGCATGAAGGACTTCAGTGTCACATACATCTAAAGATTTCCCTGTATAATGATAATGACTGCTTCTTGCTTCTCTCCAGGCTCAGTGCTGCTCAGACAACATTTCTCAGGTCTCTGTCACCATCTCTGACTTCTCAGATGAGATTTTACTGAATATCCTGCGATTCATTCCCAGCCATGACCTGATACTCAACGTAAGTCGAGTGTGCAGTAAACTCCGAACTCTCTGTCTGGACAAGAGCTTGAGAGTCCATGTACACCTGCATAAAGAATACACGGTAAGGCTGAAAACACACACTTCTACTGTTTCCTATTAGCATTTTTAAATGGTAATTTTTTATTTGCACATCTGCCAATGTGTTTACTGATTTAATAAAAATGTATGTGTTTGATTAAAATTAATGTTTAATTTTAGTCTATAAAGGTCTCATGCGTATCTTTTTATTTCTCAATTAAAATACTGTGATTTAGAACAATTTTAGAGCAGGTTTACATTTGTTGTAATTTAACAATCATGGCTATTTCACAAAAAAATATTCTGATAATTTAAAACATTAATATTGTGTTGTCAAAAATGAAAGTAAACATGCCTGGGTCACACTTTATATTATTGCACAAATCAAGCTATCAACAAAATATTTAATAAGGATTTTAGCTAAAAAAAAATTACTTATTGGCTGCTTATTAATAATTAGTAATGTAGTAGTTTGTTTTGGGTATTAGGTAGGATTAGAGATGTAGAATGAGATCATACTTTACATAAGTACTAATAAACAGATAATATCATAAAATAGACAGGTAGTAAGCCAATAGTTAATAATGGAATTGACACTTACATTTAAGTGTTTCCCATGTCTGAAAACAAGGTTTATTTTGTTATTTATGATAACTTTTTATTTTAAAGCTTAGAATCAGATGATAAAATGAGCTTTCATTTGATTTTGGATTAAAAAAAATGGATAATCCTGATTCCATTATAAGGGTGGATTCATTTGTGATTTTTTTTGTCAAACCAAATAAAATAAAAAAAGTTTTATTATTCAAGTAAATGATCTCAAACTTAATGGTTACTAATGATATATAAACTCCTTCATATTTGAAGCCTATATGAATCATGTCACATCTAAAGAGCAGTGGTTAATTTGTAAATAGTGAGGTCCCGGAACAGATCGGGGTAACAGATCTGGCATGTTACCACAGGAGGGAAAGCTATCAGAACATTTGCGCAATCAAATTCTTTTCATTCGTGTTTGAGAAGAGGGATCGGAAAAAAATAAACCCTGCTAATGAGATATGCTGAACGACAACAACAATATAATATCAAAGCAGTATTGTATTAGAACAAACTAAAAATTGTCAAATGTTTGTTAATTGCAGTGTTTCTGTTTCTTACTATTAAAGCAAACAATGGCTGTTTGTGGCTGCTGGTATTTTGCCTACCTGTTGTTCTTTGCTAAGCCAGTAGGCTACACTGTTGGTTTAATTTAAGGCTCTGGTAAACATGATTTTGGTAATTCTGAAATTTGTAATTGAGATTACAATGATCCAACCATATGTTCCTTTAAAAAAACTAAACATAAGATAGATCAGTTAATCCTGGGTAGCAAAACATGGGTTTTCCAAATCTGGACCAATTTGATTCTCATTATTCATTCATTAATTTTCCTGTCGGCTTAATCCCCCTATTAATCTGGGGTCGCCACAGCGGAATGAACCGCCAACCCATCCAGCAAGTTTTCATGCAGCGGATACCCCTCCAGCCGCAACCCATCTCTGGGAAATATCCACACACACATTCACACACACACTCATACATTACGGGCAATTTAGCCGCATGTCTTTGGACTGTGGGGGAAACCGGAGCACCTGGAGGAAACCCACACGAAGGCCGGGAGAACATGCAAACTCCACACAGAAACGACAACTGAGCCGAGGTTCAAACCAGCGACCTTCTTGCTGTGAGGCGACAGCACTACCTACTGCGCCACTGCCTCGCCTGATTCTCATTATTTAAAAAATAATAATTCCCTGAGAATGTCCAATCAGAAATATACAATTAATCAAATAACTGTAATTGAAGTCTTCGTCTGTATTAACCAATTATATTTGATCTTTTTCACAGGCAAACGATGATGCTGTGAAGCAGCTCTTAAAAGTCATTTCAGCCGACATCCAGACGTTAAACCTCAATGGCTGCTACTGGCTGGCCGGCTCTACAGTGGATCAGGTCACCCGCTGTAAGTCTTTGGTCAGTTTGGACCTTTCCGGCTGCAGATTGACATCAGTTCGCCTCTCGCATCTGCTGAGCTGTCTTAGCTCTCTGAAGTCTCTGGCACTGGATGTGGGGCCGGGGTTTGATCTCCACCAGCTGAGTGCAGAGGGTAAGTCTGCTCTGGCTCGTCTGCAGGAGCTCAAGCAGACGCTGTTGACTCCTTCCTATGGCGTGGTTCCCTGCTGCAGTGCCCTGCGGCGCCTTCACCTCTATCTAGAGGCCAGCGAGGTCTGGAGGGAGGCCGGCGGCTGTGCGCAGCTGATGGTGGGCCAGAGCAGCGTGCCGCACTATCAGAATCTGCGCTGGTTCTCCGCTCGACTCGCACCCGGTGAAGTCAACCGTACTCTGTTGGCGCTTTACTTAGCTGTTTTCAGTATGAGAGTTCCTGAAGGCCTTACAGGATTGGTACTCTCTGTGCCAGGCCCTGCACCGCCACGACCAGTCGCAATGACGGCGCTAATGGAAAGCATGGCGTCAACTGTGGGAAATACTGTTAGTGCTTTGCAGCTTCCACGTACATGGTTGGACGGTGCTATACTTGGGCGGGTATTAGCGCATGGATGTCCTGCATACCTGAATGTCTCCCGGTGTTCATCTCCAGGGTTCAACCCTTTACATGTGCTACTCAGTGCGGGACGTGACCTCACACCCCTGCGGAGCCTCAACCTGCGGGGATGCGGTCGAGGCCCGCTCTCTGAGAGCTGTGGGAAGGGCGATGAGGAGATGGACACGGACAGCGTCAAAGCACTTGCTGAATGTTGCCCACATCTTAATCACCTTAATTTATCTGCAACGCACTACCATCATAATCTCTCCACGGGGCAGGATGGACACTTGTGTGGTACTTTGGGACGCCTCACTGGCTTGTGCTCGCTTGCACTTCCGGTGTGTGCATTAGCACAATCTCCTCCAACTCAAATAAACAATCAAGACTCCAACACAGACCTCGCCTCAAGATCACTGCTGCTCGGGCTTAAAAAGACCACCCGGATTGGTGTGCCCACATATCGACCCACATCTGAAATCGCAGTGGGTCAGGGGGAAGAGCGGACAGACCGGGGCTTGTGCATTCAACCACTGCTTCAAGGTTGCCCGTATCTAGTAGAGCTGGAGCTGATTGGTGCAGGCTTTTCCTCAGCCATGCCCCGGAACGAGCCGGCCATTCGCAAGGACCCCGCTGCATGTTCCTGGTCCTACAGCGTTGGAGATGGGGAGTTAGCTGCTTTAGGTGGGATGAAATTTTTGCGCAAGCTCACCCTCGCGCATTTACCAGGAGTACTGAAGGGGACGGGACTCATCGAACTGCTTCAGGGGTGCAAGGACCTGCATTCCTTATCGCTGGCAAATCTAGGATCTTTAAAGACCATGAACTACACGCAGGCCCTGCTGGAGGCTCTTTCCTACTGCACACAACTCAGGGACTTAAGGTGAGCGTGCACGCCAATACTCAAAAAGTAATCAATAAGGTTGTTGCGGAAAGAGATACAGCTGCAGCAGGAAGTTAAGGAGAATTATTAATATTATTTATTAAATTACCTGTTAATTGTATTTTATAAGTGTATATCCCAACCCTGAACCCAACCATCACAATAATGCAAAAACAGAATTATATAGCGAGTATTATTCATATTATTTATTAAATAGTATTTTATTAAGGTCTATCCCTAGCCCAATCTTAAATCAAACCATCACATTAATGTAAAAATAGAATTATAAAGCAAGTATTATTCTTATTATTAATTAAATTACCCATTAAATTGTTTTTTATAATGTTTACCCCAGCCCAACCCTAAACCCAACCATCCACAGTAATGTAAAGTTGTTGTCGTACAGCATCACAAAAAGTCTGCTATGTTTACATGAATATCCGCAGCTGTATCTTGTCTAGACTTTACCAGTCAACAACCTACACATAAACTTGTTGTTCATTTGTTAGCAATGACATCATTTCACCAATAATGAACAAAATCTTCTGATGTTAAGAGAGTTTTCCAGCAGAAGAGGGCAGCACCGTTACACCAGACCTGCTGTACATTTTAATTGTTCAGACACATACGCTTAAAATAATATCATTTTATTCGATTTTCATTATTGGGCAACTGAACAGTCAGGTGAATGTGACCACTTAATCATAAATATTGTGAATCACGTTTTGCTCAATAGTAGGTATTACTCTAATAGCTGCATACAGTTTAAGTCAGAACTCTTAAATCCCCCTGGATTATTAGCCCCCCTGTTTATTTTTTTCTTCAATTTCTGTTTAACAGAGAGAACACATTTCTAAGCATAATAATTTTAATAACTCATCTCTAATAACTGATTTATTTTAGCTTTGCCATGATGACAGTACATAATATTTTTCTAGCTATTTTCAAGACACTTCCATACAGCTTAAAGTGACATTTAAAGGTTTAAGTAGGTTAATTAGGTTAACTGGGCAGGTTAGGGTAATTAGGCAAGTTATTGTATATTGATGGTTTGTTCTGTAGATTATCGAAAAAATATAGCTTAAAGGGGATAATAATTTTGACCTTAAAATGTTTACTAAAAATTAAAACAGCTTTAATTCAACGAAAATAAAATTAATAAGACTTTCTCCCGAAGAAAAAATATTTTTAGACATACCGTGAAAATTTCCTTGCTCTGTTAAACATCATTTGGGATATATTTAAAAAAGAAAAAATTCTGACTTCAACTGTACATTTAAAATAATAAAACATTTTTTTCAAAAGTTTCTTTTATGTATTTTTTATGTGTTGTAACGAAATCTTTTTTTTTAAACTAATGAAGCTAGCAGAAGTCAGTGATTTATTTTAATTATTTACCCTAACATGTTTACTGCTCCAAAATATTATTATTATTAATTGTAAATAAAAAAAAAATGTCAAATGAAATACTGTACATTGTGTCAAATGGGGACAAATGTGTTGTTTTTTTACTAATATATTTAAAAAGAACTTCTTTTAGAGCTGTAATAACAATACCTTAAAACTGTAAAACCATGATATTTTTATCCAAGGTTATCATACCCTTACAAACATATACCGACTGATAAGTTTGGATTGCCTCAATTTTAATCTCTAATTAAAGTTGGCAAAAATGACCACAGAAATGTGAAGTAAAATACAACACAATAACGGATCTTTTGATTAGCGTAAGCAGACCATGTGTATTTTGTTGTGTTTGCATCCGTAAAATGCATTGGAGTTTAGCAAAAGTTGATCTTGTTATTATTTTTGCCTAATTGGGTAGTTATTCTGCACATTTTATGATTGTATTTGGCATTTAGGCTCTTAAACTCTAGAATTTTCACCAAACACAACAATGCAAGATGAAATATCAATTATATAACCTATTGGTCAGACTTTACAATAAGGTTTAATTAGTTTATATTTTTATTAACAAACTAATTATGAACAATACTTTTATTCATAATTTATTAATCATAGTTTAACATTTACCAAGGCATTATTAAAATCCAAATTCATGCTTGATAACATAAGATAATGCACTGAGAGTTAACATCAACTTACAATGAATGACTGTATTTCCATTAGGCATGGGACGAGATCAAGTTATAGCGCAGTTTGGAAAAATCAAGGTATTAAAATGCAAAAATATTTTGCTATACCGTTTCTAAGGAATATGTAGAGGTTTTTTTAAGTGTCTTTTTATGCATTGTAAGAAAATCTGTGTTTTTGAAGCTAATAAAGATAGTAGAAGTCAATGGTTTATTTTAATTATGTAGCCTGACATGTTTACGGTTCCAAAATCTTATAAATGTTTCCCAACATGTAAAATATTGTGTTTAATGGGGAAAAAGTTGTTGTTTTTTAACCAAACATTTAATACCAGCCCATGCCTAATTTCTATTCACTAACATGAAGAAATACTGTAATAGATGTATTGTTAATTGTTTGTTCATGTTAGTAAATGCATTAAATAATACAACCTTATTGTAAAGTGTTACCAATTTATTAGTAACATTTACATCTTAATCAAATATTTCAGCCCTATAACTGCTGCATTTATTGACTCTTTCTCTCTGTGTGAACTTGCAGGCTGGAGCAGCCCTACTTTAATGCAAACGCAGCGTTTTTCGAAGCGCTCAGTCAGTGTGGTCAGCTGCGGCGTCTGTGTTTAGTTTCTCGACACGGCACTTTCCAACCCGCCGCTGTGACGGCCTTCATGCAGAGCTGCTCTGATGTCATCATGTGCCATATGTTCATGGGAGGAACGCTGGTGGCCTGTAAAACACTGCAGAAAACCCTTCTGGACAGGTCACAAATCTTAATAAAGTCTCTCCTAATGTGTGAATGATCATTGTTCTTGGAGTAACTTGACTTGCAGTTGATCAGAATTATTGGCCCACCTGAATTATTAGCCACCCTGTTTATTTTGATTTATGGAGATTTTTTCAACACACTTCTGAACATCATAGTTTTAATAACTAATTTATAATTACTAATTATTATCTTTAGTTATCTTTGCCATGACAGCACATAATATTTTACTAGATATTTTTCAAGATACTAGTATTCAGCTTACCGTGACTTTAAAAGGCTTAACTAGGTTAATAAGGGAAGTTAGGCAAGTCATTGTATAATGATGGTGTGTTCTGTAGACCAGTGGTTCCCAAAGTGGGGGTCACAAGACCATGACAGGGGGCCCCTTGATGATTTAAAAAAAAACAAATAAATTTTTATTAAAACATTAGAAATGCCTATTGCCTATTTTATTAAACTATTAGAATTATTAGAAAACACAAATAGTAGTTTTTAATAAACAATAAACAATTAAAAAACAACAACATGCAAATGAAAAGCCATCAGTCTTTAAATCCTTTTTTTATAGGATTGGTGTGTTTACGTTGTGGACTTGTTTTTTTTTATAGCACCAGGTAACACTTTCTGACAACTTTAAGCAATTAAATACAGGCCACAACTGAATATTGAGAATGATCTCTCATTGGCGGTCTCCAAAATTAAACCAAGAATAGACTTGTGCTGAAAACATTGTGCCAAGCAGGCTCATTGGTTGAGTTTAATATTAAATAAACAAAATAAATAAATGACTATAAAATTATATAGTTGTTAGACAATTTTTGTGTTGTGTTTGTATAGCCTTTTGTGTGCAATGTTTGTATATTTATAACAACCTCTGAGGAATTTGGGGGTAGCAAGTCACTGGCATTGTTATTTTAGGGGTCGCGGGCGGAAAAGTTTGTGAATCGCTGCTATAGACAATCTAAAACAAATATTGCTTAAGAGGGCTAATAATATTAACCTTAAAATGTTTTTTAAAAATTTAAAACTGCTTTTATTCCAGCTGAAATAAAACAGATAAGACTTTCTCTAGAAGAAAAAACTATGATAGGAAAACCGTAAAAAATTCTTTGCTCTGTTAAATATAATTTGGGGAATATTTGAAAAAAAAAAAAAAATCTGACCTATAATTTTGACTTTAACTGTGTATGTTCTTTTCTCTCTGCAGTTTTTCAGTGTCTCGTCCAGCTCTTAGTGTGGTGATTTACCCTTTACTGCATGAAGACCTGGCCCATGTGATCAGAGGTATGCCACTTTGCCACCTGGACGAAATGACACTTTTTAAAAGTCGTGTTGCTGAAGAGCCCATGAGACGGTGACTGTGGAAATATTTACAAAAAAAGAGAATCATTCTTTGGTGGATTAACCTGGGTCATACATCTGTGCTGTTTTTGAGAGTGTATTCATAATTGTGCATTATGGAAAGTCTGCTTTCTGATGATGAAATATTAGCAAACCGGTTGAAGGATAATAGGAAAACTTTTTTTTTTTACTTGAGAGATCATATGGACTATCATAGCTTTCCTAATAAGCTCATTGTTTACCAGTAAAGAGCCAGTATGAACAAGCTCTATGTCAGGTTATAATGTCATCTTTGGATATGTGCCAAAATAAAACCTTCATTTCTTCATGTGTTGTGTTCACTGAGATATAATCACTCCCCTAGATTGACAAAACATTCTTACATCATTGAATATGAACTCTTGAGAATGTGATATGCTTTTCTCGAAGTTAAAGCAGCACAAGTTTATCAGAGATGTCTCATTTTATAGCAGATTCTTTTAAAAACTGGGTTACAATTAACTCCAAGTTTGAAGTCTTTAAAGTGATAATTTACCCCAAAGTTTTAATTTCTGATAATTTACTTGCTATCAGTCCATGCACTATTTCAGCATAGTCAAATCAACGTATTAGTTTAATTTTCAGGATCATGTCATGCTGATGTTAGGAGTCATAATTCTGAAATTTCGAGAAAGGTATAAACAGAGGTCAGAGCCAACTCCAAGTGGGGTGGGATTTGAGTTTCATGTGGGCTGTACAAACCTCCTGGAGTTTTCATTTATTTAGTGTCTTGTACAGGAGTCCAACCTTTGGTGCTTTATTGACAATATAATATAATATAATATAAAATAATATAATGTGATATAATATAATGTAATATAAATAATATAATATAATATAATATATTATAAAATAATATAATATAATGTGATATAATATAATATAATATAATATAATAAAAAAGAATATAATATAATATAAATAATATAATATAATTTAATATATTATGAAATAATATAATTAATATAATATAATAAAAATAATATGTATAATATAATATAATATAATATAATATAATATAATAAAAATAATATATATTATATAATATAATATAATGCACTTCTCATCTGTGCTAGTGTGTTGGGGAGATTTTAATTTATTCAGGTCTCCAAAAAGACCTCAAAGTGCCCCTCCACAACTCTCCAAATCACCTGAGGTGCTTTGTCTGAATTTACTGCCTCTGAAGATTCTCATTATGTCTTTCAGAATTTCGGGAGCAGCCATTATGATTTTAAAGCATCATAAATTAATAAATCAGCTTGAAATAGGCGTATCTATAGTCACTAGAACAAGACAAACAGAAATGTACAAGGCAAATGAGAAACATTTGCTCTAGAATGTTCCTTAAATTATGTGGCCCAACAGGAAATCTTTAAGTTTGACTTAGTCATTGAAAGTTAAGCTTAGAAAACACCTTTGTAGAATTTAGTATTTCCTTATTTAGTCAAACATGAACAAAATTTGCATGACAGGAAAATATACCAGGAGTGATGTCAAGATTATCGTCGACCTACAGTTCACCTGGCAAAAATAAATAAATTCTTATTTGTCTTACGTTAATGAGCTTTTCTAGTAGATTTGCAAAAATAGGATCACTATATACACTACCTGACTAAAGTCTTGTCGCCTATCCAAGATTTAGGAACAACAAATAATAACTTGACCTCTAGTTGATCATTTGGTATCAGAAGTGGCTTAATGAAAGGCAAAGATTATGATTATGCTTATTTTACCAAAATAAAATATGATCAAGCCTTGATTTTTCATTATTTAATAAGGACAGTAAAGGTCTGACTTTGCTTAGACAAAAGTCTTGTCACTTAACAGAAATAATGTCCAGTCTAGAATATAAAGTCCTGCTGCAGTGGAAAAAGAATGAATATTGTGTATGACTCCCATGAGCTTGGAGGACTGCATCCATACATCTCTGCAATGACTCAAAAAGCTTATTATTAAAGTCATCTGGAACAGCAAAGAAAGCGTTCTTGCAGGACTGCCAGAGTTCATCAAAATTCATCTTCAATGCCTCCATCTTACCTCAGACATTCTTCATAATGTTCAGCTCTGGTGACTGGGCTGGCCAATCCTGCAGCACCTTGACATTCTTTGCTTTCAGGAACTTTGATGTGGAGGCTGAAGTTTGAGAAGGAGCGCTATCCTGCTGAAGAATTTGCCCTCTCGTGTGGTTTGTAATGAAATGGGCAGCACAAATGTCTTGATACCTCAGGCTGTTGAGCCATCCACTCTGCAGATCTCTCGCACGCCCCCAAACTGAATGTAACCCCAAACCCCGATTTCCTTCACCAAACTTGACTGATTTCTATAAGAATCTTGGATCCATGTGGGTTCCAGTCTTCTGCAGTATTTGTGATGATTGGGATGCGGTTCAACAGATGATTCAATCTACTGTCTTCCACTTTTCCATATAATCAACTAGAAGTCAAGTTATTATTTGTTGCTCTTAAAATTGTGATCTATGACAAGACTTTTCAAGTAGTGTACTGTATCCTGTAACAAACAGGATATCATGTAAAGTGGATATCATGTAAACATGTTAACAGGATATCATGTAAATAGTTTGCTTTCAGTTTCATAAATGAACACATGTTGGTATTTGGTTTAAAGTTCATTTTCTTAGCTGTTCATGTGTTGAAAGACAAAAGCCGGAGGTTAGAAATACTTATCCTGCTCACTGAATCAACAGTGTTCAGTTTCGGTGTGTATTTGTAGAGTTGCCTTGGGCTGTTTAACATTTAATCATTTATTATTTGTTGAGTATTTCATGCAGTAAAGGTAAATTATGCACTACTTCATGCAGTTAATGTACATTTATATTCTGCTTACATAGTGAAAAGGGTGGCACCAGGTACAAGTATGCTGAAAAACAATAGTCAAGAGTCAATATGTCCGACTTCATTCTTCTGCTTAAATCAATATCAAATCTTAAAAGGAGTTATCAGAATGGATATAAACATTTAGCTCATATAAAAAATGTATCTGTATAATATTGCTTATATCGAGTTGTTTGATAGCTCTACAAAATCCACAATGAAAGAAAAAGAAAATTAAGAAAATCAAGATTTGTAATAAACAATTGCCTGAGGGAAATTAAAGTACTTTTTTAAAGGTTGTATCTTTAAGAAGTCCAATGTAATTCTCCAGATAGAGTCATGTTTATGCTACGGATTTCCTCATGGTCCAAAGACATGCGCTATAGGTGAATTGGGTAAACTAAATTGGCTGTAGTGCATGAGTTTGTGTGTGTGTGAATGTGAGAGTGTGTGGGTGCTTTCCATACTGGGTTGCAGCTGAAAGGGCATCCGCTGCGTAAAACATTTGCTGGAATAGATGGTGGTTTTATTTTGTGGTGGCTAATGAACCCAGAATTTCTTTTTCAAGTGAAATTAAATGCTAAGTGAAGCTACCAGATAAAATACCAATTAAAACATTTCTGCTTGGGTTTTTCTCTTGCACTAGCATGACAGTATTTTATCTGCCGGCTCGTCTATTAGTTTAGCATTGATTTGTATCAGTAACTTGATAAATCATCTCTCTATACTGTTCAAAATCTGCAGTGACCAGAACTAAATTTGCTTATCACTTAAATAAGTAGCTTGTGTGGTACAGTACAGGTAAAATAAGCCTGTGTGTACAGTATATAAGTGGCTTAAACTGGAACTCGGCTTGGGTTTTCTGGAAATCTCAGGTGCGTCTTTTCACTTCTTTCAACTTTATTGATACATACTTCAGCAGTAAAAAAATCTCAATTGGCTCACTCTGCTAAAATCATTAGCATTCAAATGCTACATTTTTATTCTTTATTTTTAAATTATATTTAATATATTTGTTTTATTGTAAACTTTTTGTCTCTTGAACAGCTCAGTCTATGACTTGTACTGCTATAAAATTGAGGTAAGTCTTCATATTATTTCACAGTTTCACAATATCAGCTGGCCAATATTAAAACCTCATATTACATTTTAATTTAATTTACTGTATTTAAGATTGTATGCACATTGTGTGTATTTATTACTTAATAATTTATCATTTATTTATTTATTAATGTAATTTAATAATTATGTGTTGGACAGAACAGGATTAATGTTAATACCAAAAGAAGAGCTGTAGAAACGTTGGAGGAAGAGTTGGCAGAGCTATATAAAGTCAAATCACTCCAGTTGTTTAAATAGCTCTGAATAGTAATTTTAAAAAGCTTTGTTGAGTTATTTTCTTAAAGAGAAACAATTTTTCTTGAATACTTACAGTTGAAGTCAGAATTATTAGCCCCCTTTTGAACTTTTTTTTTTCCTTTTCTTTTTTTTAAATATTTCACAAATGTTGTTTATCTGAGCAAGGAAATGTTCACAGTATGTCTGATAATATTTTTTTATTCTGGAGAAAGTCATTTGTTTCATTTCAGCTAGAATAAAAGCAGTTTTTAATTTTTTAACACCATTTAAGGTCAATCTTATTAGCCCCTTTTAGCTATATTTTTCGTTAGTCTACAGAACAAAGGATAATTATTATAACTTGCCTAATTACCCTAACCTGCCTAGTTAACCCAATTAACCTAGTTAAGCCTTTAAATGTCACTTTAAGCTGTATAGAAGAGTCTTGAAAAATATCTTGTCAAATATTATTTACTGTCATCATGGCAAAGATCAAATAAATCAGTCATCAGAAATGAGTTATTAAAACTATTATGTTTAGAAATGTGTTGAAAAAATATCTCCGTTAAACAGAAATTGGAGAAAAAAATAATCAGGGGGGCTAATAAGACTTCAGCTGTACATATCTGACTACAAATTATCTAAAAAGTATAATAAAATAAACATTAATTGTTATTAATTTAATTCAATTGAATTTAAAAACTTTATTTTTCCCCTATTGGGGCAATTCAAGTCATATGGAGCAGCACCAGAAGAAAACAATATTATTACCACACAAAAAAGTTTTTTTATAAACAAATTTTGAGAGGATTGCATGCTTATAATTGTTCACAGCTTTTCCAACTTTAGCTAATGACTGATTATCCTATCACAAGATCCTTAACTCACTATAAATAACCAGACTTTTCTCATCTCAATATCTTCGTCTTGAAGAAACCCCCCCACCCAACCCTACTTTCTCTCCTTTCAAACGGGCGTCACGGTGGCCAGCGATTAGCGCAGTTGCCTCACAACAAGAATGCCCCTGGTTTAATTCCTTTCCAAACCAGATGGCATTTCTGTGTGGAGTTTGCTCGTTCTCCCCGTGGTCGCGTGGGTTTTCCCCAGGTCCTCCGGTTTCCTCCCACAGTTCAAAAACAAGCACTCTAAACAATTAATCCAAATACTTTAGCTAAATTCTAAGTACACCTTTCAGCATCCATATCTGACACTTAGCTACAACAAGCAAGAGGGGGAGTCATCGAGATCTACCTGAGCTCAAACTCCCTTCTCGCCTTGCAACGGGAGGGAGCCCAGGGCTCAAGGATCTTATAAGCTCAGGGCTCTCTCCCGGGACAGCACGCCAAACTAGCTTTATTATCAATCATCATCTAAGTGTGAACTCTTGAAAGGGCATTCCGAAGCCCGTAACACATAAAGTATTTGGACATACAGTTAAACTCATAATTATTAGCTAATCTTTGAATTTTTTTTTTCTTTTTAAAATATTTCCCAAATGATGTTTAACAGAGCAAGGAAATTTTCAACGAATGTCTTATAATGTTTTTTCTTCTAGAGAAAGTCCTAATTTTTTTATTTGGCTAGAATAAAAGCAGTTTTAAGTTTTTTTAACAGCCATTTTAAGGTCATTATTATTAGCCCCTTTAAGCTATATATTTTTTCGATAGTCTACAAGAACAAACCATCATTATACAATAACTTTTCTAATTACCCTAACCTGCCTAGTTAACCTAATTAACCTAGTTAAGCCTTTAAATGTCACTTTAAGCTGTATAGAAGTGTCTTGAAAAATATCTATAGTCAAATATTATTTACGGTCATCTTGGCAAACATAAAATAAATCAGTTAATAGAGATGAGTTATTAAACTATTATGTTTAGAAATGTGTTGAACAAATCTTCTCTCTGTTAAACAGACATTGGGGAAAAAATAAACAGGGGGGGGCTAATAATTCAGGGGGGCTAAACATTTTGACATCAACTGTATACTCTGAAAAAATTATTGCAAGCCAATTGTGTGAATTTAAACAAACAAATTAAATGTAGTAATCTTCAAGTTAATTTGTTTGTTTAAATTCAGCCCAAATAAATTTACAACCCCTTATCTTGCAAGGAATCATCTTTAAATAGTTTTACCATTATACCATTATAATAATAATGATAATAATAAAAATAATAATGATAATAATAAAAGATTTAAAAAATCATAAAGTCACCAAGAAATCAGTTAAAAGCCAATCCAAAAAATACCTTTTAAGAACAGATTTGAATACAGTAAATTATTCAGCCTGTCATATGTCAGAGGGGAGAGACTTACACAGTTTAGATAAATAATGAGGAGTCAAAGCATGCAAAGCTTTGTAGGTCAGCGTAAGAATTTTAAAATCAGTTCAGATTCTAAAACTAAAGAGATGTGCTCTTTCATCCTGGCCCTTGTTAGTATTCTAGCAGCTGAACTGACTGAAGTTTACTTATAGGGTAAATAAGTTCTGTATCTTGTAACAAGCATCCAATGTCATGTAAATTTTATAAGTACCACATTCATGTTAAGAGGACTTCAGGAAGTTAACAAATGTACCATAACTGAAGGGAAAAATGGATGATATTTACGTACCTCTCCTTATCATACATTTCCTTGTGTGTTCATGTGTTGAAAGACAGGAACCGGAGGATAAATACTCGTCTGTCTCACTGAATCATCAGTGTTTTCTTGACTTCAGCATCGGTGTGTACTGCTGTATTTGTAGAGCTGCCTTTAACAGAGTTATAGTTGATTCTTTATCATTATTTAAGTGTTTTATATTGTATTAATATGTTTTATATCATGTTAAATTCTTACATTATTATTTTTTAACAGCTAACAGCTCAACCTTTAATCTCCACTGTGATAAATCTGAGGTTGTAGTATATTTCTGTTTACTTTGTAAACTATTCAAGCTTTTACAATAATTTAAAAAAATCTTGTTGCAGATAAACTGATAAATCAACACCTCCTCGTCTCCATCATGAATCTTCTTCTTCATCTGCTGATGCTGTCGCTTCTCTCTGCTGGATCAGCCAGAGTTGTGCAGGATTTTGAGAAGAGCTGTGGTCAATTTTTTGCAAAAGGAAAATCTCCAAAAGGATTTACTGGAGCGCAGTACAGGCAGATCTGCCAAACTCTAGATAATGCTGTTCATTTCGCCACACTTTATGACACTTACAACAAGATCCCTGTGTACTCGGCCTATGTGTTTGAAGGGCTAATGGGCTGCACAAGACTAAACAGCTGGTACATTGAACCTCAGGTAAGTGAAATATCACTCAAACTTAATTCTCCTAAAGGTTTCACACTCAACAACATGAAAAATACTTCAGTAAGTTTTAATAAATACACCACACTATAGTGAAGCACACTAGAATATGCTGTATTTATAACATTTTGTTACCGCATACTGTAGTATTAACTATACTGAACTGATATAATGTAATAACACTTATAAGCACAATAAGCATGGGTCAATAGCGCCGCCATATTTGTACAGTGCTCCCAGGACAAGTGTCATTCAACTACACTAGTCAAGACAGTGTTACTAGGCCTACGTGAAGATGCAGGACTTTAGTGCTGTCTACAGGTATAGTAACGAGCAAACAAAGAAAACAAAGCACAAAGGCAGAACATTACATAGGTACGGTTTAGTTTTTTTACGTTTTTTTATGTTATGAACTTTTGTCACAAACACATGCTTTTTGTCAGGAATGCCTGTGCGGTCACTGATCCATCAATGTAGAAAAGTGACGCAAAATTATAAGTTTCGTAATTTAAAAAAAAATCAGCATACTGACCTCCGGGAAAACTCTCGATCATAGATATGTGTATATGTGTAATTCTCTGGTTCTGGATGGCCTCAGTCCTCCACTGCACCTTGGTCCCGCATTCATTTCAAAGGAGCGCTACCCTGTTCTAAAATGGCGGCTCTATTGACGCATTCCTTCTAATAGACAACAAAAGGGTAGGTGACATCTAATGTATATATCTATGGGTTAGCACTGTTGCCTCACAGCAAGGAAGTCACTGGTTCGAGTCACAGCTGGGATAGTTGCCATTTCTCTGTGGAGTTTGCATGTTCTCCTCCAGGTGCTCCGGTTTCCTCCACAGTCCAAAGTGAATTGAATGAACTAAATTGGCCATATAAGTGTAATTGTGAATGAGTGTGTATGGGAGTCTCCCAGTACTGGGTTGTGGCTGGAAGGGCATAGTGATGTACATAAAGGATAAATGAAAATATTGGATCATTAATTACAGAAACTAATTAAGACATCTGTTAGAGGTAACTGCTGTTATATTAACACTTAGGACTTAATAAAATTTTAAAAAGAGAGAAACTGCTTAATTTCTAGAACCACATGATAAACAGCAGAAGAAATAACAGATTAATAACTGTAAAATAAACAGAATAACTGTAAATAAATGATTTAAAGTTAAAGTTTGCGGCTCTATCACATGTGTATTTAAATAAATGTCTCGTGCTGCTGGAAAAGATTAAACTAAATTCATTCATTCATTTACTTGTTAGTTTAGTCCCTTTATTAATCCGGGGTCGCCACAGCGGAATGAACCGCCAACTTATCCAGCAACTTTTACTCAGCAGATGCCCTTCCAGCCACAACCCATCTCTGGGAAACATACACACGCACAAATACACTATGGACAATTTAGCCTACCCAATTCACCCGTACCTCATGTCTTTGGACTGTGGGGGAAACCGGAGCACACGGAGGAAACCCACGCGAACGCAGGGAGAACATGCAAACTCCACACAGAAACGCCAACTGAGCCGAGGTTCGACACCAGCGACCTTCTTTCTGTGAGGCAACAGCACTACCTACTGCGCCACTGCTTCGCCATTAAACTGAATGTTGCCTGTAAATTTCTTCATTCTTACCTAGTATCCTGTTATTAATATTCCAGCTTGATGATAATAATGGAGGAGCAAACATGGCATTTTCGAGCACCGTGAAAGAAAATTATCGAGGAGTTCATCAAGCTCTCGATAAAGACTATGATAAATCTGGCTACGACAGAGGTCATCTGGCTCCAGTTTATCATGCAAACTCTCAGAGCTGTGCTGACGCCACCTTCACTCTCACCAATGCTGCTCCACAAGAGCCCAATTTTAACCGAGGTCCATGGAAGGCACTAGAGGGACAAATTGCCAATGATCTGTTCAAGACATGCACAAAAAAAGGCTGTCGTTTTTATGTTGTAACAGGGGTGGTACCAGGTAATGGACAACCAGTGAATAACAGAGTGAATGTACCTAGTTATTTCTGGACCGCTTTCTGCTGCTTAAACAAGAATGTGTGTCAGTTCTCTGGGGGAGCCATTGGAACCAATGACAATAATGGCAATATTAAGCTATTGAGTGTGGCTGGTTTACAGAATAAGTTACAACAGTTTTATGGAAAGGCTATTACATTGTTTCAGTAGGCTAACGATAACAAAACCAGACACCGTTTGTTTCTAATAAATCCTCACTGAGTGATTAAACATGGCAAACCTATGTGAAATTGTGTCTTTTAATGCAGATTAGTACAATTTGATCAAAACTGTAATCACTATAATTGAATTATAGAACATTTAAGCTGTTTTATTTAAAAGGGATGCAAATGTATCTGTAATGAAGTGTATCATGTACTTAATCAAGAATGATGATGATTACCCTGTGATATTATAATGAAAACAATACTGATTTTACTGTAAAATCTTTTAAGCTCTAATAAAGATCTTTATTGAGGCAAAACCTGCACTGCATTCTTCAAGAAAACATATTTACATCTCATTAATAATAATATTTCACACGCAGAATTATGACATCTGACAGCATCAGACAGTGTCGACTGCACAGATTATATACTTGCAAAAACCAATGCGAATGTTTGCTTATTTTTAGCATAAGTTGTCATTATTGTTGCTCATGGTACACTGAAAAAAAATGGCTCATTGTTGCAAACAATTTATATAAGCTGAATTTAAGCAAAATTAGTTGTTGTAGAAGTCCATCTATTAGCCCAATGATGAAACTAACAGCATGGTCGAAGGTTTAATGCATGTCAGTTTTTTCTAGTACTTCTAAAAAAAATAGTGTTATTTATAAAAATTTATTTATATTTGTTTTTTTAGCCCTGAATTTAATCTGACTCAGTTTTATGGGGTTTCACCTATATTGTATAGGACAGTAGAGAGTATTGACAGGAAAGCATGGGGAGCAGAGAGAGGGGAAGGGGAATTCAGAGTAACTTTTACTCTGAATTATCATTGAAACCTAAACTTGAATAACACCTTGAAAAAAATGAAGTTTCCTCATTCAAGCAGACAACATTTGCATGTGCAGATGATCACAATGTCAACTGTTCCAAGACAATGAATAAATTAATTATCTACAAGTTAAAGCATTAAAAAGACCATGTCAAGTATATTTAAATACAGGCAGGGTCACTATATTCTATATCCTGCAAACAACAAGCATCCAATGTCATGTATACTCTTTATTTGTCTTTTAAATGAACACATTCCTGTTAAGTGGACTTCAGGAAGTTGAAAAATGTACTGTAAATGTAGGGAAAAATGTGGTGGATCAAGTTTGTGTCCTTCTGCTTAGGACATTTACTTGAATGTGTAAATGACAAGACAGAGGATAAATACTCGTCCATCTCACTGAATCATCAGTGTTTTCTTGACTTCAGCGTTGGTGTGTACTGCTATTGTAGAGGTGACTGACTGTTTTATGTTTGATTATTTTTTTAGTGTCTTATATTTTGAATTAATTCACATTCTCACATTGTTTTCTCTTCATTGATATCAGCTCAACCTTTATTCTTCCCTGATTTAAACCTGAGGTAGGTGTTTATTTGTTATTTTCATTTTACATGCTGTTAAAATAAGGAGATCATCTCATCTTGTTCTTGCAGATACACTGATAAATCATCATCTCCTCGTCTCCATCATGAATCTTCTTCTTCATCTACTGATGCTGTCGCTTCTCTCTGCTGGATCAGAGTTGTGCAGAATTTTGACAAGAGCTGTGGTAAATTTTTTGCTTATGGAAAATCTCCAACAAGATTTGATGGAGATCACTACAAGCAGATCTGCCACGAGTGGTACACAGGCTGCCTTCTAGTGGTACGCAGAGGAATGAAATATGTCGTACATGCGACACACATTTCAAAATTTATCAAAAATGATGTATATAATATGCCATATATGACATATAGGCTATATTTTTAAGGTAATCTGCCACGTTTTTCTAACTGTGCAGAGGTGTAGCTGCTTTACTGGGCCTTCTACACTACTGTATTTCAATACTGCTTATTTTGGTGGTACTTGGAGAGACAATTTTTTTCTGAGGTGGTACTTGATGAAAAAAGTTTGAGAACCACTGATCTAGATGATGCTGTTCATTTCGCCACATTTTATGACACTCACAACAAGATCCCTGTGTACTCGGCCTATGTGTTTGAAGGGCTAATGGACTGCACAAGACTAAACAGCTGGTACATTGAACCTCAGGAAAGTGTATTATTATTCAAAACTCCATTACTTTAAACTTTATATCATTAATGCTAAAAAAGACTGGAATGGTTGATAGTGAGCTAGGATAAGAGAAGTATGTTACAAAAGATTACAGAAATGAGGAATTACTAATTCTTGTTTATAGTCTCATCTAACAGGATGTTCATGCTGAACATAAAGATGAATCTGCCTGTAATGTACAGCACATTTGTTTTATATCCAGCATTCTCAAGTGTATCTTTTTTAATAATATTGCAGCTTGATGATGATAATAATGCAGAAGAAAACATGGAATTTGAAACATTTGTGGATATAGGGGAACTTGGAGAAAATCAAGCTCTCAATAAAGACTATTATAGATCTGGCTTTGACAGAGGTCATCTGGCTCCAGTTTACCATGCAAACTCTCAAGAGTGTGCAGACGCCACCTTCACTCTCACCAATGCTGCTCCACAAAACCACTCTTTCAACCGAGTTGAATGGAGGTTACTAGAAAAAAGTATTGCAAATGATCTGAGCATAACCTGTGCAGAATACAATGTTTACATTGTGACAGGGGTGGTACCAGATTATAACCAAACAATCAACAACAGAGTGAATGTGCCTAGTCATTTCTGGACTGCATACTGTTGCTTAGACCAAAATAATAGGTCTGCACACTCTGGGGGAGCCATTGGAATCAATGACAATAATGGCTATATTACTCCTATAATTACTGTGGCTGAGTTAGAGACAGAGTTGGAGCGGTTGTATGGAACAGCCTTTACATTGTTTCAGAATGGGCCAATAATAAGGCAGTTCTTTGCTTACATGAGTGATTAAACTGTAAACATTTCATGAAATCTTTAAGTAGGATTTCATGAAGCTCATCATATTTTCAAATATTACCGTACTGTAATTAAACTGATAAAACCTTTTATTTCTAACACTTGTAATGTTGCAGTTCTTGAGTTCATGAGTTTCACGGCTGATTAAAAAACAGACCTGGGAAAACAGTAAACCAGCATTTAATTGTTTATGTTTTATCATCATTTTGTTTAAAGACTGGAAATATTTTTAGGGTGATGTTATGTTGTATTTCATAATCAATGGCAATGATAATTATCTGACAATGATAATGAATGTGCTGATGATCTCAACTGTAGAACTATTAACCTCTAATAAAAAATCATTTATGCTCCAAACCATTGAGTTTAATTTATTGCAGTGACTCTTGCGAATATTTAGTTGTAATGATTGTACTGTATTTTCCTGGACTGAAATCAGATCTCTTAAACGTGGTCATGGACATATTACTGCAATTGCTGATCTGTAAAGTTTAACAAAACCAAGCTCACATGTTCTTAAAATGATAAGCCCCATCTTATTTCCATAATTTCATGAATTTATTGACGATAACATTGAAAATTAATGAATGATGAGACAAGGGACAAAGTGCTTCATGTTTCATCCTTAACGGAAGTGCTACAACTTCCCAGACTGCTACGATATTTTGCTGTATCCCTTACAAAAAAATAACTGCAGTAAACTGAAGTACAAAAGCAGTATATAGAAGTATAACTGCAGTAAAATTAAGCACAATTGCAAAACTACAATACAATGAAGTATAAACACAGTTCTAATACAGTACAATAAAGTTAAACAGCAGTATAAGTTGCACTAAACTGCAGTAAAAAACAAGTAAACTTTGTATTTACTGCACTTGTGCTGCTGTAGTCTAACATGCCAATGGTGTGGTAAGAACTGTACTGCACTTGTGTTCCAAGGGGTTTTTTCTTCAACATTTTTCACGAATGTTTATTTTTTTCAGGGATGTTTTTTTTGGTTCAAGTCATTTTCTATTTTCGAATTTTAAGAGTTTATGTGCAAAAACGAATATTAAAAAATAACTGCAGTGAACTGAACAGTACAACAGCAGTAGCCTATATGCAAGAATAACTGAGGCAAACTTCAACGCAACTGCAACATTGCAGTATAATGAGGTATAAACACAGTTCAACTATAATACAATAAAGTTCAACAGCGGTAAAATCTGCAGTACAACTGAAGTAACAATAAATAAACTAAGTGGGGCAATATAGTGATATAAGTTATATAATTTAATGCACTTAGGTATATAAGTATAAAAAGAGCTCTTTAGTTTTGTTAGGTATTGCAGTAGATGCATTTCTGTAGTTCTGAAAAGTGCAATACAATATATTGTGGAAAACTTCAGCATTACAAATTAAGTGCTGAAACTTCATTTGGAAACCAAGCAGGAAAAGTGGTAGTTGTACTGCAGTTGTACTGTAGTAGTATCAGCTGTATTGCAGTAACAGTACTGCATTATAGTAGTAGTGTCACTTCAGTACCATTGCAGTAGTTGTAATTCAGTTGTACTGTAGTAGTACTTCAGTTGTATTGCGGTAGATGTACTGCAGTTAGTTGTGTAGTACTTCAGTTGTATTGCGGTAGATGTACTGCAGTTAGTTGTGTAGTACTTCAGTTGTATTGCAGTAGATGTACTGCAGTTAGTTGTGTAGTACTTCAGTTGTATTGCGGTAGATGTACTGCAGTTAGTTGTGTAGTAATTCAGTTGTATTGTAGTAATATTGCAATATACTTTTTTTTTGTGTGTCCAAAAAAACTGCACTTTACAGAAGTTAACTACAACTGCAGTATTTCTTTAAAAACTGCAGTAATTTTTTTGTAAGGGATTGGTCAAGCTTTGTGAGATATGTGGCATCTTATCTGGTGTGATCACACTTGGCTTGTTGGGTTGAATAAAACAAAAGTGTGACGGTTCTGCTGATGCAGTTCGTTTGAATAATAATTTTGGTGCACATCAACCAAAAAAGTAAGCTTAACACGGCGTAAAGACATGTAAACAAACAAAAACGTTCAAACAGAAATAAGTATTTTTCCCCCATAGCTAAACAAGGTTTAAGTTTAAAATGTTTAAATTAAGTCAAACAAAAAAACAATCAAACATATTTTAGTTTTTACATCAGTCTGCCAATAATGAGGCTAATTGGTTATTAATGAAACAGGTCAAAATGGAGCGCCTAAAACAAGACAAGACTATCAATCATTCAGAAAGTACAGCTTTACACCACCTTACTGTAAATAACACAAGGTGGCCGAACATTTAAAGATAACTGGAACAATAATACATCAGATTATCGAACAATATTCCCAATAATTTCAATATGCTTAACCAGAAGACCTTCCTTGTATAAACCAGCTTGGACCAGAATGCATTTTCAGGTTTAAGCTAGTGTTTCCAGCAGGATAGCCTTCGTAAATGTTTTTTTTTAGTCCTACATAATTATCACCTGTACAAACCAATGTTCATGTGTGCTGGATTCTCCTCAGTGGCCAGGCATATAGTTGTGCAATGTGAGTGTGCTGTTGAGTTTCAGCGTGGTGTGAGAGGAGTGTGCCTGTGAGGTCAGACTGTATGTTGAGTAAGACACTGCAGACCCTAGCATCAGTCCAGCCATGTACGACACAGTCATGGTGTTTCCTGTAAGATCAATTAATAAGAAAACATAATGTCAACAGGAGGGCTCAATATATCAAATGCTTAAAGTCCACATGAACCAGAAGCTATGACTGTAGACTTAAGTATTTTGACACAGGTCCTAGAGAAACGGATTACTAAATGAGAAAACAGTGGGCGTGGCTTGTTTTTTCTACTGTGAGGTGATTGGATGTTGTAAAGTAGGCATTTAATTCGGGAAAGATCAGGAAAGGGGTTTAGAAGAGTTATTACAAGCTAACAGACACCTCCTCCTCACCATTTCTGTTTGTTGATGAAACTGACAGTTGGAGGGGTGTGGTTAAGTATGTTAGCCACGCCCAGTACCTCAAAATCACGTAATCTGAGAATTTAACTGTACAGCTTTTTCAGATTTTAATTTCAGAGTGAAAGGAAAAACTGTTTTTTTCAACCCGGGCTCATTGTGGAAACGTAGCCCCGCGGACGTTTCTGCGGACCGCGATTTATGTCCCGGGAGGTACGTATTAGAGCGTTTTTTTGTTTTCGCGGATCCGCGAGAGGCCGCTGTGCGCGCTTTTTCGTGTCTCGGGCGCCTCTCGGGAGCGTGCGGCGTTCGCTCCGCTGACGCAACGCTGTGAGCTAAGCGGACAAACTGATTGCATCGGGAAAGCCCTCCACTCGGAGGCGAGCCGTCGGCCGGCGAGCGCGAAGAGGAGGGACAGAGCGGCGCCACACCGCCCCGCAGCGTTCGCTAGAAAAAAACCAAACGTGGCCTTTACGTACCTCCGGCCACGTAAATCGCCGTCTCCAGAAACGTCCGTGGGGCTACGTTTCCAGAATGAGCTTGGGTTGGTTTTTTTTATGTCATGCTGATGGCGGGGATTTTCTGATGGATGTCCACTGGATGGAGTAACACATTCTTAAATTTCTAAATATTACAATCTGCTGACAGTCATCATTGACTACAACAATTTTAGACCAAAAACGTTGTGTCAAGGAATGTTTTGGATCAAAATTACCCTAACTGTAACTGCCCTCTAGCGTTTGAAGAACAAAACTGCACAATTACTGGCAACATAACTGCACAAAACTTGCGATTGTGGATTAATTTGATAATTTGAAACGTAAAAAATGTCACTAACGACATTACAACGTTTGACACCATACACCATTTTGTGGCGCGTTAATTTACGGACACGACGTCAACATGCACAAACGAGAGCTCAGTTTCCCTGGAAGCAAAGAGCTTAGAATGACCAAGAGGCGTAGCTGAACGCTATGGGATTACAGAGACACGTCGCTCACAGAAGCAGGAAAATGAAAATAAAGGAACCGGCCATTTTTAAAAGCACAGCCGAGACATGCGCAGATCATGGACTTCACAGGGGGCTTCAGTTAAATGATCTTAAATGGGGTCCTACTGGCAAACACACATACACACTCATTTTCACACACACACTATAGCCTTTTTAGTTTATCCAATTCATCTATAGCGCATGTCTTTGGACTTGGGGAAACCCACCTGAACACAAGAGAACATGCAAACTCCACACAGAAATGCAAACTGACCCAATGCGGGGCTCGAACCAGCCACCTTGCTGTGAGGCGACAGCATTACCTACTGCACCACTGTGTCACCTATATTGTTTTTTTTTAACTATTTATTTCCCAAGTGTATATAACTACTATACTGTGAGAAAACCTCAGCATTTGGTACGTTCCATTGCAACTGCAACAGCAGCGCCCAGCAACAGCCCTAGATTCTGCCATTTTGGAGTGAAAGCGATCGGCTGTCCTTTGTTTTTTATTTATTTATTTATTTAAAAAGTGCATTAAAGCTGAGATACAACCTGAAAGACGACAATACATATTCGGCCAATAAATAGATATTTGCACTTTTATCCTGGAATATTTCTGCAAGGGAAGCATCTTCCAACATGGTTATTTTTTTTACTAAAAAGTTCCACATTGCATCATTTAAGATTAAAATAGTAAAAAAAAGAAAGAACATAATAATCATGTAATAAAGATCGAGTCAAAGATGCTTCAAGATTTCCTTAAATCCAACCTGCAGCTTTTCTTTTGCCCAGTCAATGTGTTTACATTTGAGTCAGCATTGACTTGTAAGGATGATCACTTTATTGCCAATGATTAAACAGCAGTTTGCTGAACTCAAAACAGGTGAAACAAAGCGAAGAAAACGTTCACTAAATTGACTTTATAACACAATCATCAAACAAAAGAGTGCATCTAAATTAAACCCATTCTAGAGATAATCTCTTTCAATGTTAACTAAACTAATGCAAATTTAATAATGCATTTAAAACTAATGTAGATCTGTACTTTAGCTCCTTATCAGAAATGTCTACACATCCCACTTCATGTGTGTGCCATACTCACCTGCCACCTCTCGCTGCTGAAGTGGCACTTTGCCAGCTGCCTGTATCATTGGTACAGAGCCAAGATATCCGTTACTGATACCTAGCATCACAGACAGGCCGCAGGGCCAGGCAGGGTGTGCCAGCAGGGGGCGCTGCACAGGCGACACACACATCACAAACAGGGGCAAGAAGAGAACGCGCAAACACGAACACACCAGCAGCTGCACACCACCCCACTCGTATGGGCATGCCGCCAAGATCTAAAGAGTAAAGCAAAGAGATTTGAACTGTTACCATTTTAAATTGATTACAATAGATACTATACTACTTCTTGCTGTGAGGTGAGCGACCGTTCTGCCCCATCATCAATTATTCCTTACATATATGCCTACAAAAAAAGATTCATTTTACCTTGCCCACAAAGTCAGCCATGTTGAACAGAGCCATGGTGAGGATAGGCAGCCATTCTCCCAGTGTATCGTTGTGCAACTCTGACTCCAAACCAGGGAACAGACACAGAGTGATGAAATATGTCACCAAGATTGAAAGCATATATGGCCAGATCACCCGGGCTACAGCACACCTCCGACCCAGCAGCTCTATAAGAAAACATCATACATCATGTTCAAACCTCAGTTTCTTTAAGCTACTATATATACGTTTTGCCTCTCTTTCACCATGTCTGTTTGAAATAGTAAATAATAAATAAGGAAGTTGTTTATTTCACAGAAAAGGCTAATTAACCATCTTTATCACTTATTTATTTATTTATTTATTTATATATAATAACCAAACAAAGGTTACATACTCCAGCTTTAACGGCCAGTGATAGTGATAAAATTATAGCTCACCCTTCACACTGATCCAGCTCCTTTTGGCTTCTGGTTTGGGCACATCAAATCTGACGTATATGCCATCTCCATGGGAACCGTTACCCAGATTAACCGCATCAGCATCATCAACCATGCTTGACGCCATTCCATCCTAATTTGTGGAACAGTCGTGAGTCAGAGTAGTGCAATCTTTTGAGCAAATCATCATAAACGTTTTTTTATTTTCCTTTAGATTAGTTCCTTATTTATCAGTGGAATGAACCGACAACGATTCCGGCATATGCTTTAGCCAGCAGATGCCTTTCAGCTGCAACCCAGTACTGGGAAACACCCATACACTCTCACATTCACACAAAATCTAACCTAAAAATATCCAAAATTTTGTCCAATGTATTAAGAATGTTGTACGTGAGGATGTTACTTTTTAAAACAAACTCGATATGCCTGTCCATATACAGTACACATGATTATGTATACAGTATACTGAATATACAATGTCTGACTCAATGTTCAATGTGTTACTCAATATACAATGTGTGACTCAATGTCTGGAAAAGGTGCTATATAAATAAACCTTTACTAACTTACTTACAAGTGGATGAAGTCACAAGTTTGTGTTTTTGTAGCTTACATGAAAAAACATGACGGAATAGTTGGTGGTTCATTCCGCTGTGGCGACCCCTGATAAATAAGGGACTAAGCTAAAGAAAAATTAACTAGCTTTAAATTTAAAAAAAAAATTGGTCGGTGACCCAAAAAACCTTTCAAAACAAAACAAGTGTTCCTGTGTGTGAATGTACCTCTTCCTCTGCACTGCTGTCGTAATGTATCTGATAGCCGCTGTGCTTTTGTGTCGTAACGTTATTAATCTGTCCTTTGAGCCAGCTGTGGCTCTGGCGAGCTCTGCTGGTGTGATAACGGACAAAGTGTGTTCGGCGAACCACCACATGAAGCAGAAAACAGAGCGTCTCCATTGAGACGGAGAACAGGAAGAAGATAATGGTGTTGTTCTTCTCATCCTCCACCAGCAGCTTTGTAAAAATCCGGCTCAAAGAAACAATAACTCCTGCAGTGCCTGAAACAAGCATATTTGACAAAAACAGCATGTGTTATGATTAAGAATTTCATTCATATACAAGAAAAACATATTCAGAATTAATCTTTGTATTGTGCTGTTATCTGAAGCACATACAAGCAGATTTCTCCCACCAATTCATATTACCATAATGCACAAAGGTCGAATTATTTCAATATTGTAATGTAAAAATATATATTTAACGTATATAATATATAATAATTTTAACATATGATTACGTTTGAAATACATTAACCATATTTAAATCCTTAATTTGCACATTTAATTATGTATTCAGTATTAATAATGCAGTATACATATTGTTTTATTACAGTAATTTTTTTAATAAATTACTGAGTTAATTTTATAATTACTGATAATATTTATTGAGACCAGTATATCTAAATATTATAATATATCATTTTAACATATTATGTATAAAAATTTATTATTCATATTTAAATACTTAATTTGCATATTTAATTATCTTCATATTAAATTATATTCAGCAATAATAATGTATTAATAATGCACTATAAATATTGTTTTAATAAAGTTTTTTAACAAATTACCGAGTTACTTTTATTATTACTGATATTTATAAAGACCAATTCATCTAAATATTATAATATATAATTTTAACATATGCTTAAGTATAAAATGTATTATTTTAATATAAATAATTACTTTTGCATATTTAATTATGTATTCAATATGCAAAAGTCATTTTTTAAATATGAATCATGTTTAATCAAGTATATAATGTATTATTCAAATTTAAATACTTAATTTGCATATTTAATTATGTACTTAACTCAATAATAATAATGAATTAATAATGCACTATAAATATTGTTTTATTATAGTATATTTTAACAAATTACTGAGTTACTTTTATAATCACTGGGAATATTTATTGAGACCAATATGCCTTAATATTATAATATATAATAATTATAACATGATTATGCATACTATATTATTAATATTTAGATATTTCATTCGCATATTTAATTATGTACTCAATGATAATAATGCATTAATACTGCACTATAAATATTCTTTTATTACAGTATCTTTTAACAAATTACTGAGTTATTTTTATGATTACTGAGAGTCATCATTGAGACCAATATGTCTAAATGCACAAACCCAAAATGCATTACAGTAAAGAGAATGGTGGTGTAATGTGAAGTAAATGTCACATTGATTCTATTGTAATGGTTGAAATTTCAGCTCACTCTCTCCAGTCATCACACCCTGCGTGTATCTCTTGGGCAGCATCCCTGTGTAACCATAGAAACTGGACTGCTGCACTGTAAAGGTCAAAAGGACAAGGTACATGTTTAAAGATTTATATATGGATGTTGTTTCTGCATCCTTTCAACAGCTCTCAGATGAGTTTTTGTAGCCCTGAATCATATTTTCAGATATTTGCAAGGTTGCAGTTTTATCCATATTATGGATCACTTTCATTTCCCAAGCCTCCCCTCTTCTGCTCCTATGGATTTAATACTTGAACCACTGTGTATTAGGAATGGGATGATTTCAGTTTTTATGAAAACAAAATATGTTCTCTGCATAGAAGCTTACTGACATCCATAAACCTTCAATGGGAGGAAGACTTTTTTTTCTCCCCATGTTAGCATGAGTTTCCTCCGGGTGCTCCGGTTTCCCCAACAGTCCAAAGACATGCACTATAGGTGAATCGAATAAACTAAATTTGCCGTAGTGTATGTGTGTGAATGAAAGTGTATGGGTGTTTCCCAGTGATGGGTTGCAGCTGGAAGGGCATCCGCTGTGTAAAACATATGCTGGATAAGTTGGCGGTTCATTCCGCTGTGGTGATCCCTGATTAATAAAGGGACTAAGCCGAAAAGAAAATGAATAAATGCATGATTATTTTCCTTCTCTCTCTATATATGTCAGAATAGTACAAAATAATTTTGTAATTTATGGAAAATTCTATAAAAAATGGGGGAATGTGAAAAGACGAGGCCCAGTTTTAGATCTCAAAAACACAATATAGGAAAAATGCATGAAAAATATGCATGTATATACAGTACCTGTGCATCCAAATGCAACAATGGCAACCGCAGCCAGAGTAACAGCATAGGACTGCTGAGTGTTGAACAGCTCCAACCAGACGTCAAATACACTCACACACACCAAAGGTCCCAACGCAAACAGGTATCCTGTAAATGCAACAAAATTTTTAATGGCGTTGCATTTTTTTAACAATGACTGAAAACTCATGAGGAGCTCCTGAGCTTGTCTTAGATCTTACATTGACAGCTTTTGCATGTTCTCACCCACACAGATGCGAGTATGTAAACTCAGTCTCTCCACCAGCGCGTTGTTCACGATGACAGCGCTGAGAGCCACCAGTATGTACGTCAAACTCATGTCGAACACAATAGAGGTGCCTGACAGAGGAACAGAATAGAGGAATTAATGAGCACGACTTTTTTTGTTTACTGTTCATGCGATAGTTTGTTATACAGCACTAGGTACGTTTAATTTTTTGTGTGATGACTTCATGACACAGGTTGGTTGCATTGAACCTTTGAATTTACGATGGAGATAATCCACATCAGTGATAAAGCTGTTGTATGGCAGTAGAAAGCCCACACCAGCCAGCAGCATGGCAAAGTAGATGCTATGGTATCGATCATCTGGAATGGATTCGTCAGAGTCTGAAATTAAAGCATAAAACATAAATGAATACCTCCTAAAAAATGGCTAATTTTAATTAATTTAATTAATCATTCATTTAATCATTTATTAAATCATAAATACATTTAAGTAATAACTACTATCTAAATAAAACACTTAAAATGTAATATTTAAAACATTTAATACTACTAAATAAATAATACTTCTCTTCACCTATGTCATGTGTGACAACACAGAACTGTGAACATACTGTATGTTTTGTTGAATTATTGTTAATATTTTATGACTTTGGCGGACAAAAATAGGTTTGCACTATTCTATGCAATATTTTACATCAACAGTTTATATGAAAGCTACAGTACATGCAAGTTTTATCATATTAAAACCAAACCAGAAATCGAGAGTGTGCAAGGGCGTAGCATGAACACACAGATCACAGTCCATGTCACTATTAAAATTGCTTATTTTTTAGCGATTGGCTTTTTGAACATTTTTCAAAACTTCTGGTTAATATAAGTTCATAAGTCAGCAAAATATAAAACAGTATCCAGGTGTTTTTTTTTATTTTATTTTAATTACAAAATCTTAAATATTGTGCTTTTAAAGTGCACCTATAACTCACCATGAGCACTGTGAGGTTTTCTCCTACCCGTCTTCTCCTCCTCTGGCAGCTGACTAAAACTGAAATTCGTGATCACAGTCTTCTCTCTACCCTGCCGATTCCTGCTCCACTCCTCAGAATACATGACTGGAAAAAAATATGTCAGAATTTAAATAGTTTTACTAGAATTATTATATTATTGTTGCATATTACAAACAGATTTTTCTCTTTGAGGCTGACTGAATGAAGGGGTTAATATTAAGAACTAATTTAAAATAACATAATTCCTATTTAATAGAACACGGTGGCTCAGTGGTTAGCACTGTCACCTCACAGCAAGAAGGTCGCTGGTTCATGTCCCAGCTAGGCCAGTTGGCATTTCTGTGTGGAGTTTGCATGTTCTCCCCATGTTGGATTAGGTTCCCTCCGGGTGCACTGGTTTCCCCCACAGTCCAAAGACATGCGCTTTAGGTGAATTAAATAAACTAAATTGGCTGTAGTGTATGAGTGTGTGTGTGTGTGTGTGTGGATATGAGTGTGTATGGATGTTTCCCAGTACTGGGTTGTGGCTGGAAGGACATCCGTTGTGTAAAACATATGCTGGATAAGTTGGCGGTTCATTCCGCTGTAGGAACCCTTAAAGAATAAAGGGAATCAGCCTAAGGAAAATGAATGAATTAGTTATTCATGCTGCATACATTATAATGAAATTCAACATGCACCAGCGTGACAACTTGCCTCAGTGTAAATGTTGTGCGTGCAAGAAAAATCTTTAGATTTTTTTTCATGCAACAATGCATGGCAACTGTTCAATCTTTGTTCTTAAACCTGCTTTTCTTTCAAAGCATGCGTTTTTTCTCTCACAGCAGCTGAATGTGTCCATCCGCGCGCGCTTTGTATTTTACAGCACGTTATGATGAGTCAGAAAATGAGTGATAAACGCGCGATTAACACTGACACGCCGAGGTCACCTGACAGAGCCAACAAGGCTATTTTTAGAAATACGCACCCTCAGTGTCCGAGCGTAATTTTAACACAGGCAAAAACAAGATAGAGATGCTGCATTCTATTATCAATTGGAAAGACGGATGCTTTGTGTTTGAGTTAATTGACACGTCTCTACACATCTCTACACAGTGCTAATGAACGTCTGTCAGAGCTTTCGCGCGCTCTCCTGAATGGATAACAGGTCTCTTACCTGATGTGCCAATGTCATTCACTCCCTCACAAGCGAATGATTTTAATTATAAGCCAGGGTGTTGATTTCGGTCGGTGTTATTAGCTGAGGATGCTGGTTTTCTGCTCCTTCATTCTCTCTCGAGGCTCCCGCCCTCCTGCGCAAGTCACGGAATCATCAGGCGCGGAGCGATTGATCGCCGGGGCAAGTTGTCACACTTTCTAATAACGGGGGTTCATTTCTAATATTTAATGCCTTCTTATATTTTTTTTCGTAGGCAACAAATATCCATTCAACATACCTTTTTATTCAAACGTTGATATCGGGCGTGTTGTCATGATGCATGCCACACAACCTTTTATTGTTGTTTATTCATTTCTTGAATAAAACGATTGATTAAATGATGAATGAATCAATGAAACATCAAAAAAATAGTTTAACTGCTAGTTTTTTTAACTTGTGTAGTAGGCTAGGTGGACAAAAATCAACTTGTAGGACTGGTTAATTTATATATATATATATATATATATATATATATATATATATATATATATATATATATATATATATATATATATATATATATATTCTATATATATATGTACTGTGGGTTACAGAATCCAAAACTTCTGTTGTAATTACATAGATAATAAACGTTAAAAAGTTTAGACAAATTACAATAACTTTTAATTCATTGCATGCTTGCATTTGATATATATCTTTGAATTTATACACTAAAAAAATCTATGAAAAATAAACCAACAAAAATAGTGTGTAATGTAATGCTGATTTGTATTAATGTTTGTGCATATAATGGAGGGTTTGGCCAATTTTATTTTGTACAGAATACATTTGACTTTAAATATTTCCACTTAATATATGTTAACTTAATATTAATTTAATACTGAATAAACAGAGGGTTCTCTGATGGTTGCATGACATTCTGATGAAAAATATATATCAAAAATATATATTCAAATCGCAAACCCCCTGTAGTTCCTTATAAACCTCAATTAATCATTCATTCATTCATTCTTTTTTTTTCGGCTTAGTCCCTTTATTAATCCAGGGTTGCCACAGCAGAATGAACCACCAACTTATCCAGCACATGTTTTACGCAGTGGATGCCCTTCCAGCTGCAACCCATCTTTGGGAAACATCCATACACACTCATCCACACTCATACACTAAGGACAATTTAGCCTACCCAATTCACCTGTACCGCATGTCTTTGGACTGTGGGGGAAACTAGAGCACCTGGAGGAAACCTATGCGAATGCACGGAGAACATGCAAACTCCAGACAGAAACGCCAACTGACCCTGCCGAGGCTCGAACTAGCGACCTTCTTGCTGTGAGGCGACAGCATTACCCAATGCGCCACTGCATCGCCCATCAGTTAATTACGTTGTTAATATTTTTCTTTCTCTTTGTATTTCCTTTCTATAGTCAACACTGTAATCTAACCAGCATCAATCAGCACTGATGAGCTCATAAAATACCTACTGAGAAATACAAAGCCCCGGCTGTGTCAGTTGGCATTTGTGTGTGGAGTTGGCATGTTCTCCCTGTGTTCCTCTGGGTTTCCCCCACAGTCCAAATACATGCGTTATAGATGAATTTAATAAACTAAATTGGCCATAATAGGGCATCATGGTAACTCGTCGATCACCTCACAGCAAGAAGGTCGCTGGTTCGAGCCGCGGCTGGATCTGTTACTATTGCTGTGTGGAGTCTGCATCTTTTCCCTGTGTTCGCATACTGTTTTCCCCAAATTCCAAAGACATGCGGTATAGGCGAATTGCAAAAGATATGCTGGAAAAGTTGGCGATTCATTCCGCTGTGGTGACACCTGATTAATAGAGGGACTATAAGCCAAAAGAATATGAATAAATAAATAAAATTGGGATTAGCGTATATGTGCATGTCAGAGTGTATGGGTGTTTCCCAATACTGGATTGCAGCTGGAAGGGCATCCGCTGTGTAAAACATTTGCTGGATAAGTTGGCGGTCCATTCTAAAAATGGAAAATGAGTGAATCACCATTATTGACCACAAGGAAACCTTGCTTTATTATCACGCTGCAGAAGATTTGAGAATGTTTTTTGGATAAACTAATGCATGAAAGAATGAATGAATAATTAAATAAATGAACAAATAAAAACATAAATAAATAAATAAATTCATAGCTGGTGGTGCATTCCGCTGTGGCGACTTCCAGAATAAAAAAGGGACTAAGCCAAGAAGAAAATGATTGAATGAATAAGTTCATAGCCTACAGAAAGAATGATTCAATCAATCAATAAATAATTTATTAAATAAATAAATAAATTAAATAAATTTTTTTCAGGATTATGACATAATTGAGCTACAGTAGGTGTCAGAAACAAACCTATAAATAACCCTTGCTAAAAATGTCCATCCTTGATTTCCCTTTTTAAATTTTTAAAAACCACAACCACATTCATCTGAATCTTCATTTCTGCATTTGGATTTTCAGCTATATATAAACCAACTTGATCTTGTGCATTTGCACTTCAAGGGATGCCGTTAAACTCTTCAGAATTCAGCATTTCTCTTCCTTTGTCGTTTGAAGTTCTGTGTTCATATTCTGATGGCTTGCTCCGGGCGCAGAAAGACCTCAGGAGATTCTGGAAGAAATGCAAAGCTGATCCCCTAAATTATCTATTATCCAAAATTAGGTCATATATCTGAGTTAGAATTTACACAGTAATGCACAAGTTAAGACAGCAGACCCATCTACAATAATTCAACATAAATTAATGCATTAATAAAAGTCCTGTGCAAAGATTATTTGTAACTTAATTGCATCCAAAATAAAAGTTTATTTTGACACTATATATATATATATATATATATATATATATATATATATATATATATATATATATACACATACATATATATGTGTGTGTGTGTGTGTGTGTGTGTGTGTGTGTGTGTGTGTGTGTGTGTGTGAGTGCAGCATAGTGGTGCAGTGGGTAGCACGATCACCTCACAGCAAGATCAGTGATTTGAGCCTCGGCTGGGTCAGTTAGCATTTCTGTGTGGAGTTTGCATGTTCTCCCCATGTTCACGTTGTTTTCCTCCAGGTGCTCTGGTTTCCCCAACAGTCCAAATACATGTGGCATTGGTGAACTGGGTAAGCTAAATTGTCTGTAGTGTATGTGTGTGAATGTAAGAGTGTATGGGTGTTTCCCAGTGATGGGTTGCAGCTGGAAGGGCATCCGCTGCGTAAAACATGGGCTTGATAAGTTGGCGGTTCATTCCGCTGTGGCGATCCCTGATTAACAAAGGGACTAAGCCGAAAAGAAAATGAATGAATGAATTTTAGCAACAGTCACTGTGGTGGTTTCATAATAGCTGATTTTGCTGCAGCAGGATTTAAAGCGTAGGAAGGCAAACACACAAGATGTAAAAGCATTTTGGGTGCACTGGTAGACAGAAACACATTTGAGAACAACTGCAATTCTGTCTTTTATTCTTATATGCAAATCACAGAGATGCATAAAGTGTCATCTCTATGGAAACTTAGTGTGTGTATGATCTCTGAGGAGATGCTGAGGAAAGCAAAGCCTTCACCCTCTTCTGTTCTGCAGTATATGTACTGTATGTGGGTGGGTGCGTTCAGCAGTCTAGGGGGGCCACAGTTAGCAGTCCTGCATTGCAGTCTGTCATGGAGGATACAGAGAGAGGAACCTACTGATACGATGTGAGAGCAGATTCAGACTCGCACACACACATGCACACAGAGCTCACTAACTCACTGTTTTTAAAATATCACACTTACGTAAGCAGCAGTGGATAAGCCAGAGAAGTTAACTAGAAGTGAATTTAAATGTCATGAATAATCCTTTCACACACTGCAGCAAAGTGTCTCCATTTATTTGTGTCTATGCAGCCTTGTGAAAAAGAAGTGCACTTTGTGTTAAATGTGCATTTCTAATGTGCTTCAACTCCCATAATAATTGTACTAATAATAATAAAATAGTTACTTGCAGATAATGTGATATACTATATTATTCATTCATTCATTCATTTTCTTTTCGGCTTAGTCCCTTTATTAATCAGGGGTCGCCACAGTGGAATGAACTGCCAACTTATCTAGCATATGTTTAACGCAACGATGTCCTTCTATCTGCAACCCATTACTGGGAAACACCATACACTCTCATTAACATACACACTATGGCCAATTTTCATTCATTCTTTTCGGCTTAGTCCCTTTATTAATCTGGGGTCGCCACAGCGGAATGAACCACCAACTCATCCAGCATATGTTTTACAAAGCGGATACCCATCCAACCGCAACCCATCTCTGGAAAACATCCATACACACTTGTTCACACTCATACACTACAGACAATTTAACCTTCTCAATGCACTTATACCGCATGTCTTTGGACTTGTGGGGAAAACCGGAGCATCCAGATGAAACCAGCGACCTTCTTGCTGTGAGACTATTGTGCTATCCACTGCGCCACCATGATGCCCCTATATATTATATTATATTATATTATATTATATTATATTATATTATATTATATTATATTATATTATATTATATACCATTTTATTATATTATACTATATTATATTATATTAAATTATATTATATTATATTATATTTTATATTATATTATATTACTACATACCCTTCTATAAAATCTCTCCTTTTGATAATAATAATAATAGTAATAATGATAAAACTCTATTATTTATACTATTATTTATCCCCCACAATTCAAAGACATGCGGCACAGGTGAATTGGGTAAGCTAAAAATTGTCCGTAGTGTATGTGTGTGAATGAGAGTGTATGGGTCTTTCCCAGTGATGGGTTGCAGCTGGACGGGCAAATATTTGCTGGATATGTTGGCAGTTCATTCTGCTGTTGTGACCCCTGATTAATAAAGGGACTAAGCTGAAAAGAAAATGAATGAATGAATTATATGTATACAAAAAAAAAACATTTATACTTTACATTTTAAGTAAAATCTCAAAGCACGATAAAAAAATCCCATAATGAGTTAAAGTTAAAATCAGCTTCCAGCTAAGATTCAGTAAAAACTATAGTCATGTAATATTTTCAGTCTAACATTGTGGTAATTCAACATTTCCTTATTGAAATATTCTTGTAAATTAATTACTGCCTATAAATGTTTTGTGTCATGATAAATGCATTTTGCAATAAATTATTTCATAATCAGATGTTTTACTTGTAGGCTATAT